TGACATCAAGTCTGGATTACCTAGGGAAGCACTGCCCCATCCTACAATAAAGATCAATCCACAAATGTCTGCAGTGCCAAGGTTGTCAACCTTTTTCTATATCCTTCAAAGAAACATAATCAACTGCTTAGTTTTCCAGAGCTATATAATAAATTCACCTAGGAACACTAATTTTGCTAAGCCTTTAAATTTTTTTCTACCACATCCCACTATGACAGATCTGTCATTTATCATATATTTAACATGGAATTCACTTTTTTTCAGACGCCAAAGAGTCATCTCAGAAACTTATTAAAACCAGCTCCAGGGATGTTTACCAAGATGTTCATCTAAGGGCATAAGGCAGTGTATTTAAATTTTTAAAAAGTCTCACTTATCCCGCTTCCTAGTCTGCCTTCTCTTGAGGTGCTCCACTAAGAAGTCTCTTCCAGCCTCAACTCAGCCAGAATGTCCAAGCACACATTAACTGTGTCCTGCAGTATCCTTAACATAAATTCCTCTCATCTCTTATCAGGCCTAACACCTTCTCAGTCAGACAGTGCTGAAATTTGACTTTACGTTTTTCATTTCACTCGATGAGACAGTGTGGGAACAGAGCCTAAGGAAGGTAAACATGGCAAGTCACTTATCTTATTTGAAACTTCCCACCAGACTTCTTTTTGTTTATTTTTTAAATTTTTATTTATTATCACATGTTTGCAGTACATGTTCTTCCCATTCCTTGTGGGGAATTACAATATATACACAATATAGCATGTCTCTGTTTTCAGCCCCTTCCCCTCTCCACTCTCCCCACTTCCTTTATCTCTTGATCCCCTTCCCAATTGAGAAAGATGTCTCACTACTTCCTATTTATCTTTTATTTTGCTCTTTATATATATTTTAGTGTTCTCATATAAAAGAAATCATATGATAATTAAACTTGTATGTCTTATTTATGTCACTTAATTATATGATCTCAAGAGCATCGGTTTTCTTAAAAGTCTCACGTTTATCCTCCTTTAAGGCAGAGTAGTACTCCATCCACTGTGTGTAGCTACAACGTTTACTCTACCCATTCATCTGTTGATGGACATATAGGCTGCTTCCAAGATTTAGTTGTTATAAACTAGTGTAAACATGAGTATGCATGCATCACTGCAATATGTCCTTATTTCTTTTGGGAAGATACCTACCAGAGGAATACCTGGCTTGAATCTCCATACTGATATTCATACCAACAATGTAGAAGGGTCTTCTTTACCTCAAAGCCTCTACAGTATTTGTTATTATTTGCTTGCTTGATGATGGCATGCTTTCCAAGATAAGATGGAACCTCAGTGTTGCTTTAATTTGCATTTCTCTAATGGCTAGAGATGTTGAACATTTCTTCATGTATTCATTGGCAATTTCTACTTTTTCTGTGAAGTGTCCATTCATATAACTTGCCTATTTTTGATTGTGTCTTTTGTTTGGGGATATCGAATGTTTCTCATATATTCTAGAGATTAGTCCTCTGTCTGAGAAATATCTAGGAATATTTTTTCCACTTCTTCTTTTCACTCTGTTTGTTGTTTCTTTAACTGTGCAGAATCTTTTAATTTGATATGATCTTTTTTGTTGATTTTTGGCACTATTTCCTGTGCAACTGAATTTCTGTTTAGAAAGTCCTTGCCTATGCTTAGAACTTCAAGAGTTTTATCTACTTTATCTTCCAGCAGATTGTCTATTTTAAAATTTAGATCTTAGGTCCATTTGATTTTACTTTAGTAAATAGAGAAAAATAGGTTTTAATTCAGTCTTAGGCATGTGGATAACCAGTTTTCTAATCACCATTTATTAAAGAGCCTGTTTTTCCTCTAAATGTATTTTTTGGCCCCTTTGTCAAAGATCAAATAGTTGAATTTCACTGGGGTTGTTCTGTGTCCATGTCTGAAAATGCCAGTAAGAAAGCCTGAGAACATTAATGTGAGGACATTAAGCCTGACCTCACCCCCTCATCACCATAAGACCACTGTGCCTTTTCCTGCTCTCTTAAGACATTTTAGATATTCCGGCAAGTCTGTAATGGGGAGCTATTCTGGTCTTCAGAAGTCCTGTTATGTGAGTAATATACCTTTTTATAAATTTTTTGGTATGTGTTGTCATCATTAGTCTTGACAGGAAAACTGAATATTTGGTAGAAGTACATTTTATTTATATGTAGTAGCTATAACACCAGTTTAATGCCTCAGAAAAATACATTTACTTTAAATGCTTCCAAAGAAGCCCTCTGGCTTAAAAATCTGTGAAGAATGGGTAAAAACAAATTCATAACTGCAACAGTGTCTACTCAGTGCCACAGACTTCATGGTTACAATTTCCATCAGACAGTTATCAGTGACATTGCACCAAGTAGCACATCTGTGCTATATGTATTTTGTTCTAGTTTATAGAATGGAAAAGTTTCAGTAGTCACACTCCTAGAGCATTCCAGGGACACTCAGTATTTCACCTAGCATCTTGCATTAAGTGGTTGTTACCATTCAGGCAACAAATTGAGTGATTCTATTTTCCATCCTTGAAGTTCACTTCCTTGGACTCTATCAGCTACCAAATATCTACGGTCATATTTAAGCAGTGCTACAGATGAAAATTTTAGTAAAAGAGGATGTTTGAAGATATAACTGTAGTGAAATATGAAAGGAGGGAGGAAATGAGAATACATCAAATTAAGAAGCCAGGCTGAGGCCACAGGATGCTCTGGAACATGAATGGTAGCAAAGGCTGCTACCTCCTAGAGAGAATGGTGAATTTTATGCACATGTATCAATCAGTCACTGGCTGCAGGTTTCCCCTTGGAAGGGATAATTACCTCTTAGGAAGAACTGGGTAAGGTGATTTCCTTTGCTGAGAACAATTTTACAAGTTAAGAGAAAAAGACTACCCTGTAGCTAGTGTTTAAGTGCACCCGATAAAAGATGTCTATGTGGGGCATAAAGACTATGCACTACATCAATTAGACAAATATAAATGAGAAGAATACTCCAGGCTGGTGTTGCACTTAGACTGTTCCCAGAACAGAAGGGACAGTTCTGCTGTAGCCTGCTGGGCTAGGGGAGTAACCTAAGATGAAGTGGAAGAGAAAGGAAGGGTTTAGATCAGATATGCTTTTGAAGGCATGGCTAAAGAAGATATGTTAACTTAACAGCCAGGGGAAGGTTTTGAAGAAATTTAAGACAGGAAATGGAATAATCTGATATTACCTTTGTAAAATTGATTTTTTAAGAGTTAATAGGCCTTTATTATTGGAGCTCTAATCTTTTGAAGAGGATTTGAATTTTCAAAGTGGGCAAATGGATATCCTCAGGGAGGGATGTGTCTCCACTTCCCCAAACTTTGTTAATATATTGACATTTAGGGGAAAAAAATGAACTTAGGAAATCGTAAAACATGGCTTTGAAACCCAAAGAGTTTCAATGAATTTCTCACTCACTAAGGTCAGAAATATCCGAAAAGTAATATAACTTAAAGTGGGATATTTCAAGATACCTCACTTTTTTGCATATTGTTAGTTGTAGAGCAAATAACACTTACATGTTAAAGTTATGCATATCATGCATATCATTTTTGGGAGAATCATGTATTAACCTTCAAAAGAAGATTTTGGCATTGACCTGAGAAAATATATATGTTTTTCTAGCTATGTCTCATACACATTCAAACTTCCATACAAATGTAAAGTTTACTAGTGGTCTTTTATTTCTTAGAGTAGAGTGGAAAATTTTTAGAAATTAAAATGATCTTGTTATTTTAATTCATAGCTTTCATTACCATATAATATCTTTAATAAATTGAATATTATGTTGGCCAAATGTATTTAGGAATACCTAAAAATAATTGATAAATTTTAAATGATGTCATATTCAACTAAAATACCTTTTCTACTTAAATATAAAATGAGACTTTTTATGTGTTTTTTTCCACTCTAGTCTAGTCACTTGGACATATTAGTCTCATTTTTATAAAGAAAAAATATTTTATTGCTAAGGGACATAAATAGTTCTCATAATACTGATGATATACAATATATAAAATGTTAGTATTTGAATAAAAAGCATAATTATAAGACTATCATTATTAAATCTGTTTTATTAACATTGATAATATTTCAAATTGAATGTATGAAAAATATATCATCTATTTAAATGTAAGTAAAATGCACACTTTTTATTCTATAGGTATGGATACATTATCTGTAAGTATTATGTACACACAATCAAGTTATTCCAATGGTTAAGTAGTTTTTTTATTCAATTGAAACTGTAATATTTTGAATTTCTTGCAATTTCTCATTATTACTTTCCAGTTTATTAAAAACTAGATCATGCAGGTAAAACCAAAATAAGAAACTTTTCTTCCAAAAAATATTGATATTCTGAACTTAATGATTCTAAAGGGGATGTCGACATCCCAGGTTGCAAACAGATCGATGATCAGGAATGTGAAATCTAAGCTGTAGGGTTTTGAACTGAACTGTGAAATAGGTGAAGTGTCATAGGAAATGAAAAGAAAAATAGACTTTGGAAGTTCATTTTTTTCTGTAGTTCCTCATTATCAACTATGCACTGACTTTCCAGCACTATACTTGCTTGAGGAAAAAAAAAGTTGAGATTTCACTACCTAGAGAAATATATGAGACTTTTAGTCAAACTGCAGTTTTATGTAACACAGTATTACGGAATCAGAAAATTTCTTTCTAAAGTGATTTTTTTTCCTAACACGTTTATTCTATAGACAATTGAAGCTGTCACCTAGATTTCTGTATCTTACAGTTTAATTTTATACATTTTTCAGTAGGCCTAAGAAATTTTTAAAAATGAATAATACAGCCTGAATTGTGTTAGCAAAGTTTTCAGAAAAGGAGGAAAGTGATACTTCTTAGTCATTTAATTATGTATTATAAAAATATATCAAAGTTTTAAACTTCAGTAGAAGGTGATCAATCTTATATGAAAACAAGGTTTAATAAAGTTAAAATGAGTTCATTAGCATATGGCTCATGTAATACAACTGGGGTTGTTATGAGAATGAAAAATTTGGCCTCTGAGACAAGCACAGAGGGTCAGTGATGGAGACACACAGGAGAATATCACGTGAAGGGACAGAGACTGGACTTGTGCTGCCACTGACCAAGGAACATCTAAGCAACTGGAAGCCACAGAACCTAAGGAAGGAGCCCTTCTGTACAGATTTCAGAGGGAGACATTCATGTTGACATCTTGACTTCCAGCTTTGAGCCTCCTGAACTGTAAGACAATGATTTTCTGTTGTACTAAGCTACCGAGTTATTTCTACTTTGTTGTATTAGTTCTAGGACACTAATACCCTAAGGATATTGTGCTGATAATTAAAGGAGAATTCGTCCAATCCATAAAAACAATTATCCAGAATTATGAAATTCATATTTTTCTCACTCAAATTTGGGGAAAATAATTGAGAAAATATGTTTTTCATGTGAAAAAATGCTGAATTATCTGTGATAATTCAATGAAATCTCATCTGCATATTTTATAATATAATATGGGAAAGATAAATATTGTTTTAAATGTTACTATTATTTATCTTTTCTGTGGGTTATATTATTATGCTGGTAAAAAAAAAGTCTTTAAAATTCCTAAGCATTGAACCTGAAGATTAGCTAGACCCACTTTTTTAACTTGTTGCTTAATTACTTTAAAATGTATTATACCTACATGCTAAATTAACAGGCAAATATCTAGTGAGAAAAACATTGCTCTGTGTAAGCTTTTCTTTTCAGTTCACATTATAGACTTAGAAAATACATCCTTGGAAGCCTAGTAGTCATTCAAAAATAGAGAAATAGAAAGACAAACAAAAATAACTTTTAAAAAAGTGTTTCTAGAGAAATATCACCTAAGCAGATTATTTGTGGGAAAAATAGAAAATCTTTGGCACTTGGATGGAAAGAAAGAGTAATAAAGCTTTTTAGAATAACTTCAACCTGACTTTAATATAGTAGGAAAGCTTGAGCAAATATAGCATCCCTGAATAAACTCTGTTTACCAAAGAAATTTTTTCTCAAAATGTTAATTGATTTCAATCATTTAAACTACTGGGAAATTGAGAAAATGGATTTTCAAACATTTCTACATTGTAGAGAAGGAAAATATGTAAAATTGTTAACTTCTGAATATAAAGCCCATTTTTGTGTTTTTAAACCTTTATTTCAATGTATAATTCAGTTTGATTTTTACAGTTTCAGTTGTGTAATTCAGCATTGTCATGTACAGTCGTATTTGGGATTCCCCCAAATTTAACAATGACACTCAAAGAGACCTAGTTTTTGGTCAGACACATAAAGACCTTGGAAATTCAAATCCATCCTAAAAAGATTAAAAATGCTGCACTCCAACGAGGCCCAACAACAGGGAAGACTGTCAAATGTTTGAGTTTTACCTTCAGGATCCCTACCAGGTTCACAAGGTGAGTATCAGAGAAAAATCTCCCATGCTACAGAAAAGGGGAGGGGAAAATAAATCATTTTCAAAACCAAGGTTAATGCCTAATAGAAAAAAAAAAGCATTGTTATGGCTTAGACTTTTGTGATTTTATTGCAGCTGAATTGACCTGGACAAGAAAATCACTTAAACTGCAATGAGATATCACTACCCATCTACAAAAATGAGCAAAATCTGGAACATTGAAAGGAACAAATGCCAGCAAAATGCTACTGTGGCATAAAGAAGCATAAATTTGAGTCATTTTTTTAAAAAATAGATTCACTTTGAGATCTTAATGTTAAGTGAAATAAATCAGACATGCAATCTTCAATAGCACATGATTTATCTTATATGAGAAACCCAAAGTATGATTAAAGAGCAAAATGAAAGATCAATAATGGGAAATGGAGATAGAACTTTTACAAAAGAGAAGGGGACCAAGACATGGGAAGAAGGAAAGGGGACATGAAAAGAATTAAGATTGTGTTAAGTACATGTACCAACTCCCCACAATGAAGATAATCATTATGTACCAGAAGTTATTATAAAAGAGAATAAGGAGGAACAGAAAGTATTATTTATTACTGAGATAATGTAAAATGATGAAGTTTGGTAATTTCTTACAAATTTAAAAATGATTGTACCATATAATCTAACAAATTGCCTCCTTATTTTCTGAAATTAATTAAAAACATGTCTACACAAACCCTGTACACAAACCTTTGTAACAGCTTTTATCATAAATTACTCAAATATAAAATCAACAAAGGTGTGTTTCACCTTGGGCAAATGGGCAAAAAGGACAAATGGATAAACTACATTATATCCAGACAATGGGAAAGAAATGAGCTATTAGAGTAAGAAAAAACACAAAGAAGCCTTAAAAGTACATTATTAAATAATGAAGATAACCTGAAAAGGCTACATAATATATGATCCAACCTATGTACCATTTTGTAAAAGGCAAATCTATAGTGACAGTAGTTTCCAGAGATCAGAAAGAAAGGATGGCCAAGCAGATCACAGGAGAACTTTTAGGGCAGTGAAACAATGCTGTATGAAACTATAGTGATGAATACTCTATATGCTGTTATATATTTGTCTAATTTCATAGAACATATACCACCAAAAGTGAACCCTAATGTAAACTATGGACTTTAAGGTTGCAGCTGTGTTAATTAATTTTCATTAATTATGACAAATATAGCAATCTGATGTGGATGTAGGGCCAGGTACAGAAGATATATGGACACTATACTTTCTTCTCAATTTTTCTATGACATTAAAATATTGTTAAAAAATAATGTCTATTTTTACATGGCACTTATAAACATATTATCATTATTCACATTCTCTGAATATGAGTTTGGGTATCTAATATATTTAAATGTTCAGTAAGCGAGAAATAAAAAGTGGCAATCTAAATATAGGAAATGATAATCTGATTAATGGAAAGCAACATATTATTCTATGAAGAGTGAAGAAAGAGCTATGATGAAGATTTGTTTTTCATTTAAATCCATTGGTAAGAAAACAATAAAAATCATCCTTTCCTTTTCTTTTTTTATTTTTAAATAAATGGAATATATTGTGATTAGATTATCTTTCAAAGTTAAAATATATCTGCATTGATGACCTGAAATGTGAAATTCTCTTATCCTCAAATTTTGAATTATCAAATATTTTTAAGAATCATTTGATATTTCAGAACTGGAAAGATTTCATCTGCAGAATTCTTTTAATAATGTACATTTTTCCTCATTAACTTTATTGGTACATTTTAGGTATAAAATACAGTTACATTATAATGTACATTTTAATATTAAACAGTTAAAAACTCTTCACAGGTATCTATGGAAACTTTAACAGTTTCTCTTGAGGTAAACCACATTGATAACAAAATATAGAAGAATTCATTAAATGTTTTATGGATCACTTTTATGAGAATAGAATTGTGACTACTTTTGACTGTGTATTTTAATGTTCATGGATAACCAGATGCTCACAAGAAGCCTAAATTCCCTGATAAGGGTAGGAGATTTACCTTAGTGGTTCTGCTGCCTGCCTCTCAAGCGCAAGGTCCCGAGTTTGATCCCAAGTACCAAAAAAAAAAAAAATTCCTGTTAATTTTTCTTCCTTGTCATGAAAATCTTGTCTTGGAAATGGCATGAAACAGAAAAACAGAAAGAGCATTTTATGGTCTAATTATTAAATATGGATTGAAATTTATTTTACATAGAAAATAATACTATGCACTGACAATGTGTATAGTATTAACTAAGTAGATGAGAACATTAGCTCAAGTGTTCAGAAATTTCAAAACATTGGCACTTAAATAGAATAAAGTTGGTAAGACCTTACTTAAACCCATATATTTTGTCCTCTGATCCACTCTTTTTGTTGTTGCAATCCTCCTAGATTTTATACTTTCTTTGCTTTTATACAATGAACTTTATGCATATTTATTTTTAAGAAAATATTATATACCATTTTTTTTGTTTTTTTGTGATTTTTTTTTTTTTTTTTGGTCCCGGGGATAGAACTCGGGTCCTTGCTCTTGCGCAGCAGGAAGCGAAACCACTGAGCTTAATCCCCTGCCCATATATACCCTTTTTTGATCGAGGAGAAATTATCTGAGTATAAGTGGACTTGCCAATTTTCCCTCATTTGAAATATTATTGATGTTACCTTCACTACATTAGGGGTGAAAGAAAAAAAATGACACACTTAACATTGTCTTTACACCTAGATCCAGGTGAGTGTTTAATGTAGTTGATCACGTGTCACAATAAAGTAAGGATAGACAAGAAGAATATCATTCTATGAATCAACATCAAGCACTGAAAGTTCATTTGTTTTCTTTTGTGTAGAATTTCCCATATTAATTATGACATGCAACCTACAAAGGTAATAAGAGGATACAGGATGTGGAAGGTGGGTTGTTTTAATGCTACTTCTTTCTTTGGGATTCATATAAAACATTGTACTTTATACATTTTTTGCATCCAAGCCCAAATAAATGTACTATGACATTTTTAGACATACAGTACGGTTTTGATGATAAGGAATTAAATGCCAGGAACAAAGATATAAAAGGACTAAATATCAAAACATTGATATAATTTAATAGGGGCAGGCTAGCATGAGGATATTTAACTAAAGAAAGATTTGAAAAACACTCGGGAATAAAATGCATCCAGGAGTATAATATTCAGCAAGAGAGAAGGTCCCATGATATTCTAGGATGCAGCAAGTAAAAAGCGGAGAAAGAAAGGAAATAGTTTATGATGATTGACTTTGCTCTTAGCAAAATTTTATCGACTTACTCCCCCTGTAAAAATAAATTGATGTCATTGCTTTCATATTATATTTTGAAATATGTGCAGTATATTTTGTAATATAAACATTTATTAAATGTTATCCATATTACACTTTAACTCTTGTATTTATATCAGCATATAATTTATATTATAAATTATGTATGATTATTTTATTTATATTTTATATTGGCATGCTTTTCATTTTATATTATTGTTTCAATGTTCAATAAGCAGGAAACTCTTTTAGCTGGAAGGAACATCTGGAGTGAAGAAGTAACAGTTTCAGCTAAAGCCCAGTCAGGAAAATCTTTTAGAATCATGTTTTTCTAATATTTGTATTTTTATTGTAATGAAATAAGTCCCTAAGTTGCTGTTAAATATCACTTAAGGATTACAGCCTGCCTTTTTCCTAAGAAAATAAATTTTCTAGCACAAACATACTGTCTCACTGTATTTGAGAATTTAAAAATATCATAAGCTTTCTAGCCTGAGTGTTTAATGTGTAAGATCACACTGTATGTAATCATTCTTGTGAATACTTTCAGTATTAAAATTATTTTAGTTGTGACTTCCTGTGTATTTTACCTCTTAGTAATGATCATTCAATATTCAATTGTACAACCATTGTACAAACTATCTCAAAATGTAGAATCATCTTTATATTAAGGACAAAGGAATTGAGACATTTCTAATTTAATGCAGTCAATACTGTATTTGGATCACAATTCTAATTTAAAATTTGCTATTGCAAGTAATACAATGAGGAAGGACACAGAAACTAATGACAAATAGATCTGATTCTAAATCCTATTTTTACCTAATCAGATGTCCTTAATCAAGTTTTTTAAAATCCTATTAGGCTTCAATTCCTTCTTCCTTATGAGTGGACATTTATAAAACAAATCTTATTCTTTCCTTCTGTCCTAATATGCTAGAACTCAGTTTATTATTTGCCTAGAAATTTAATTATTCAGCTGCAAAATCAATAACCAACTCTCTTTTTTTTAACATATGAGTGGATTATATCGGCTTCAAATAAGAATAGCTTTATTTATTTTCGGTTTTGTTTTTTTGTTGTTGTTTGTTTGTTTGTTTGTTTGGTACAGGAGATCAAACTCAGACCCTGAGCTTGCAAGGTAGGCAGCGGAACCACTGAGATAAATCCCTGGCCCAAGAATAGTTTTAAATCCATAGATTTGTTCTCATTAAAATTTTTTAAATTGCTGGACTATGGATTTTTTTTTCCAGTTTATGCTCAGGTGAATAATGACATGTCCAGTGTGCGTGTGTGTGTGTGTGTGTGTGTGTATTTCTTCTACTAAGAGAATGGCAACAGCACTCCTACCCTACCACTTCAGAAATATCAAAACCTACATATGCTTTATTCCCTCAGGTACAATTGCATAGAACTTGCATATAACCAATTCATATCCTTTTGTGTATTTTAAATCATCTCTAGCTTACTTATACTACCTAATAAAATGCAAATTCTGTGTAGTTATTACACTATTGTGTAAAGAATAATGTGTGTATATATATTCTCCATGTATATAATATTTAGCAGAAATTATCTCTACTAATGTACATATACACATCAGATTATGAATAGCATTTATATTTGCAAATACATTTCACTGTGTATTGCCTAGAAAGCAGCTTGCTTTTCTTCATAACTTCAGTATATTTATGGCATTGAGATAAGTCTACAATAGTCTACTGTTTACAAATGCCATCTATTTTAGAAAAATTCCATTTTTCTCTAAAATGTACTGCATACCTGCCATGTACCTTATAGTAACGAAGTCCACTGAGTGCCTTAAATATATAATACTTCATAAAAGTCTTTAAGAATTATATAGCTCTAATATATATACATATATATAATTTATACACATGAAAGACACACAAGTTTTTTCTTCATAAATAAATATAAATTATATATATATATTGTTCTATATTTATCATTACTCAAATTCTTCTTAAAATTATACCTATGGATTTAGTTGGCACAAAAACTTTAGTTAAAATTGTACACTATAATTCATTAACAGTGGGGTTTTTTTCACATTTTTTCACCAATTTTAAAATTTTTTATAAAATAAAGTTGCGTGTATTTATGCTATACAATGTGTTTTGTTATATGTATACATTATAAAATGATTAAGTCAAACCAATTACCATCCATCACCTCACATACTTCATTTTTTCTAGTGAAGTTTTAGATCTACTCTCTAATTTTTCATGTGTTTAACATATTATGATTACTTTAGTCGCAGTACCTTACAGTGGTTCTCCCCAACTTATTCACACTAACTGAAACTGTTACATTTCAACAGCATTGCCTCCATCCATCACCTCTTTCAACCCCTGGTAAATATTTCTCTACTTTTATGAGTTTGACTATAGACTCCATGTGAAAGAGGATCCCATAGTATTTGTCTTTCTGTGCCTGGCTTGTTTCATTTAGTGTAATGTCTTCCAGTTTCATCCAAGTTGTCATTCTTATCAATGAATAATATTGCATTGATAGATTGTCTTTATCCATTCACTCACTGATGGACTTACATTGATTCTACATCTTGGCTATTATGAATAATGCTGCATTGAACACGGAGTGCAAATAACTCTTAAAATACTAATTTCATTTCTTTCAGAAATATACATAGAAGTTGTCTCTTTATATGTTGAACTTTTTTAGCTTGAAAATGTTTAGAATTTAAACTTAAATACTATTTTTTAGAAAAAGACAACTAATTCCAGGAACAGTATCTAGAGGTTTAAAACCAATGCCTGAAATAAAATATGAATACATACATTTTTGTTGCCCCTTGGCAACCGCTAAGATTACATGACCATGAACATAGTCTGGGTCATTTTCACTTGTCTTCTCATCTCTTCTCCTTTAAATTGTTTTGTTTCAGTTTAGTTATAAGTTTTAATCTAGGTAGGACTGGAAGTGGTCAAATGGCCAGATTAGATTTAACTTTTCAGCTTTTATCCTTAGATTTTAGTTCCAATCCTGATAGTATTTGTCAAAAGAAGTTGAGTGAATTTGATTTCCATTACCTCTAACAGATTAAACAATAATCTCCAATAGACTCTTGGATGTGTTAATGTGTAAGGGCTGTGGTAACAAAGTATCACAGATTGGGTGACTTAAATATAGTAATTTATTTTCTCAGACATCTTGAACACTAGAAATCAGAGATCAAGTTGTCAAGAGGACTGATTTTTCTTCAGGATTCTCTGCTTCACTCATAGAAGATTGTTTCATTTCTTGTTTTCACGTAAGTCTTTCCAATGTGTGTCTGTGTCCTAATCCCCTCTCATTTGGCAACAAGTCATAATGGAATTGGCCCATCTTAATGAATGCATTTTAACTTAGTTGTCTTTTTAAAACTCTATTTCGAATTAGCCACATCTGAGACACTAGGGTTTAGGATTTGTGTGTGTGTGTGTGTGTGTGTGTGTGTGTCTGTGTGTGTGTGTGGTTTTGGGGACACAAATAAACCCATCGTATTTGTTTGCTTCCAATAGAACAGCAGGCATGAATGGAAGTCAGTGAAGTACAAGACAGGGAACAAACCAATTATCAGTGTTGGGAGAAAGTGGAGGTGGGTTACAAGAAAATATCATTTAAGTGGTTAGCAAATAGTTGCCATTGTGAGGAAAAACAGATTTAAAATAGTGTTCACATCAGTAGGCACAGTATGGTGACTGCTCACACTATGGAAATCTGTTAGTTTATAACAGATTCATAGGCACAATGCAAAATTACATCGATAGAAATATAATTTTTCAGGCTTCTCTGGGCGAAACAGTATATTGTCCAAATGTTTTACATTTAGGAGAAAGAGCAAGTATGTTCGTCAAGAAGAAGAAGAGAAATAATCCCCAAATTTTAGTTGCTCAAATATTAAATTATTTTTTGTTACCTCACAATCTAGTATGATTCCATATTCAAGATGAGGAAGGGGCTGTGGTTTGTCAGTTTATTTGATTGTCCTGTCTCTTTCCCTTACTTATTACAGTAAATACCAATTGATCAAAAGAAGTTATACATTCCCTTCTGAAAGCAAAGAGTCTCGGATATATTGTCAAACAGTCCATTAAGATTAGGAGGATTACTCGTTTTCCAGAAACACTAGCAGACTGTGTTCTGGCAGTAAATAAGAAAAAAATCATACTGGATGGGACTTAACATTTCTCTCCAGTTACTTATTAATCCATTGACATGCTGGCCTTTCACATCTCACATGTATAAACTGAATATTTCAAATTTATGAATCTCTTAAACCACTTGAATCCCCAAATTATGGATTTATTCTAATTCCATTATAAGCTAAAGACATAAATTTAATGCTTTGATCAATTGCTTTTAGCTGAAAAACCTTTCATTTGCAATTTTAATATATTAAATTAGGCAGTGGTTAGGTAATATTTTAGCTAAGATTTATCAGGGAGGAGTGCAGATATCTAAAAGAATTTAAAAAACTAATCCATTGTTTTTGCTTGCTTATTTCCACTTATTCAATGATAGTTAATGAATTGAGTATTACAAGATGACTAATACTGTTTAACTCGGATATTATTCATATCCATATATTGAAATTGACAAAAGTACAATATGGAAAGGCTTATTTCCCAAAGTCACATAGATAACAAGTAGAAGAGATAGGATTCCATACAGAGTGTATTACCATTGCATTTTCTAGTTACTTTTCCACTAGTGGGGGTTAAATCCAGGTCCTGCACACTGAGACATATCCTGGCCTTTTATTTTTTTATTTGTTTTTTAATTGTGAGACAGCCTCACTAAGTTGCTAAGTTGCCCAGTATGGGCTCTAAACTTTCATCTTTCTGCCTCAGACTTCCAGACTACTGGGATTACTGTGTGTGCCACCATACCTGGCCTTGTTTTTAACTGAGTTGTATTTCTATCAACCCACTCAAAACTATTTCCATGTCCTTATTATGTGGCAATGGTTGTTCCTGGTGATTTTCACACTGAAAGGAAGAACAGAGCTTGCCCTTGAAGAATTTAGAGCCATCCCAGATATTTTCTATACATCATAAAATCCACAACCTTCAGGCATTCTAGGTGAATATCTGTATTCTAGCTGTATATGCCTACTCACAAAATAAAATATTTTAATCATCTCATAAAATATTATAGCTACTTATAATTTTTACTCTTCAAAGTAGCAAATAGACATTTGGATGTATCATTTTCAATGTTGTCACATCATTAAATGACTAAAAGTAGTTATATTTATACTCATTTATCTCTCCTTATTTGAAATGAGAAATTTGCACCTGAGACTAATGTGAGTGGCTATAAAGTAAACTGGGCTCACATAAACAAGAGCAGTAGGTAGATTAGTGAAGAAACTTGTGACCAGTAATAAGTTCACTTAGGAGTTGAGTTGAAATTCTCACTCAAAGCATCTTCTCTCTCCAGCATCAAACATAAGGCTCAAAACCTTGTACAATAATCTACAGAGATAAAATGGCACTTCACTCCAATTTCCAATTAGTAGAAAAGGGCACTGACTCTTACCATATGTTAGGTAGTCAGTTTTTAGATCAAGCAGTATGACCAGATATTTGATGTGTTGCTACGACTAGTCCAGATTGGTTTATGTATTTGAATGCCCAAGGAATGGAAGTAATTCAGTCATTTCTACATTCAGGACCCACCACTGCAACTTGAACCGATTGACAGCTTCTTGGGCATGCCAAAGGAGAGTGTTTGGAGGAGTTCCTCCATGCATAGCAGTATTTGCAGTTCCAGACTGTCAAAAATTCTTGAACATCTTTTTTTTTTTCATTTACTGCCTCCAACATTCTGAAGAAACACATTCTGAAGAAAAATAATGTTCTTAGGGGGGAAAGTGTTCCCTTTGCCTGTTTGCATTTTGAGCATACAATTCAAAATCTGAAAACTAGGTAGCCCTTGTCTAGGATCTTGTCATTAAAGTTTGAATTTTCTCCTCAGACCATCAGGATATCATACTAAATTAAAAGTAGAGGGGCCGGGGATTTAGCTCAGTGGTTCTGCCGCCTGCCTCGCAAGCCCAAGGTCTGAGTTCTAGCCTCCGTACCAAAAAAAAAAAAGGAGACCTCTCCCAGTACACACAGTTAGCACTCATATTCTTTTAGAAGACATACCTGCTCTGCTGCTGATGTTAATCAGTATTTTATCAAAATAACTCTGGTCCATCAATCTAAGTTCAGTAGGCTAGACTATGGTTGTAAAAAATAATTCAAAGATTAGTTTAACACTAATGCTAGATGAATGGTTTATCAATGGATTCCTGCTTGCCAGTACACCTAGCTCTTCTTTTTGTTGTGTGTCTGTCATTTGACATTTAAGTGAACTCAATAATTCAAAACATTTACTTCAAAACATGGAAATATTACGGAGTATGTGGAAGTACGTTAAAATAATATGTCGTTAGGCATAACAAATAAATTCCTATTAAAATATCACTATGATCAAGACAAATGCTTTTCTAAAGTAGTTAATTGGAAGTGACAGATGTTCTTGTGGATCACGATATTTGATTTTTTTGTACCCCAGTGCCATACAGGGGCTTAATTTTAAGCAGACAGCTTTCTGCTGTCTTCAGAATTCTAGACAGTGCCTTTGGTTTTCAGTCATTTTTTTTTCCCTTGTGCTGTACCTTTCCCAACATTTCTTAAAAAATGTGATAATCAAATGAATGAACTTTCTAAAGGCCTGTAAAATTTGGTATTTTAAAAAGTCAATATAAGAGTCAGTTTGAACTATAAAAGGATCATTATAAACAGATTTGTATTGTGATTTGCAATTTAAAAAGTTCTGTAACACATTATGCAATTTGATTCTTGAGTTAAAGATTAGAAACGAGTAAGGTATCTCCTGTAACTTCAATTTTAAGAATATTTCAATGACTTTTTAAGATAGAATATCTGGACTGATATTTCTCACAAACCCTCTTCTCCTGATGGGGTTATATCCTCTCCATTGTGTGTTTTATTAGCTTAATAATCTTAATCATATGGTTGTATCCATGTAGATTGTGTCCCAGGTCATTTTATCACTTTATATCTTTGGAATTTTCCAAGGTGCCTCTTGCATATACACAGGACCTGTACACGCATTCCTTATTTTATTGTGTATATTTAAGATATAAAATATGATGACTTTACTTAAAAGGTCAAATAAACATTCTCTTTTAATTATTGTTTGTTTATGCATTTGCCCACTCTGTGTACACACATTCACAATAAACTGAGAGTTCTAAATTATTTTTAATTGCACATAAAGTCTATAATACTTGTACACACCATGATATGGAGCACTCGTTCTTCTACTGATGGGTATTTGTTTTGTTTCTAATTTTTCATTAATATGAAAAAGTTAACTGTATGCATGTTTCTGTCTATAAATATATAATTTGTATCTCTGTGCATTTAAGCACATTCATACATGTGTGTGCAATGGTTGGCAGCATGTTGGTTTGTTGTGTTTTAAATTATGTGTCATTATAAATAAAAAGTCTGCAAACCAAGTAAATCCACTGACATTGTTACCACATTCCTTTCCCCCACATCTCTATCAATCAAAAGTGTCTGAAAGCTATTTGCAACTGCTATCCTCATCTGTTTTTGCTTTTGTAGAGAATTTCGTAAATAAATTATCAACCATTTCTCTATCATTGAAGCTGTGCTGCATCTGAGCTGTGAAAGAAATACATGCAAGAAGGACCCTATTAATTGCAAAATATTTTATACTTTCTTCTGTATTATTTCATTTTCACTAGAGTCCTGTACCATAAAGAAAGAAAATAATCTCTTTATAAAAGATGCTGAGGAGAAGAGAAATTAGTTCTTTACATAAAGTCAGAGCAGTTGGGACAAAAAAATAAACCTTTCTGTATACTTTAGAACTATATTTTCTAGAAACGCAAAGGAAATAGCTTTATGAAATGAAGAAAATAGAGCACCGTATTTCATGTAAAATTTACACCTTATTCACAGTGGGTTAGGTGTTTCATTTCTTAGCCTATAAAATATAAGCTTAGCAATGTAACTTTCCAATTATTCTCAGAATATTAAGTCTTACCTGAGATGTATTATAACCCTTCACTTCTACCTATAAAAACACGAAGACTAGAAACTGTTGATCTTATCTGTATTTTTTCAGCTAGTGAGTGGTCCCCATATCCAAGGGTGTTGTTTTATCCACTCTAATGTCTGTGTTTTTAATCTTGTCTCCTCACTACCTTTTAGTCCTTTAAAAGTTTAGAAAGGACTTAACAATTAACCTCATCAGAAAGAGTTGCTTTTATGCCTAAAACATAGTGATGGATTTTTATTTCTTGCCTAAAGGAGAATGAACTACAATTCTATTGCTAATCTAATGAACTATCCATTACCACACTAGACAACTTTTATCATCTTTTGATGCAAATGAGCCACTGTTCAATACGTCTGCTAAGTGCACATCTCACAGTATTACGCAGTTGACTGGACTATTACATAAAAATGAATATTTTATTTTGACAATACAAAAATTACAAATGTTTCTTTGGATGTTTGCTGTCCCTCCAAATGAAAAATGTCATTATTCCTTAAACTATAGTTTTTACATTCTCTCTTTAAGGCAGATTTATTAAAATGACTTAATTAGTTCTACACAATTTCCCTAAAAGGCATCCTTGAAACTTCCAAATTTTGTTAGCTACTGAACATTTCTGAATTGTGTTTCACATCTAAGGAATTTACTCATATAAAGGTAATGTCCAGAAAAAGTTAGGTCAAACCTGGATTCAGCTGAGTTTCAGGCATAGACCCTTGACTTTGACTGTGAGATATTCACATAAGAAGAATGTGATCTTCCAAGCCCCTGGATGAGTTTCTGGCAAAAGATGAAAGAAGGGTCAGTTTTTTAGAGGCAAGTGAGGCCTGGTAGTAACATTGTGGAGAATGGTTTTAGGTATCTATATGTAGCAAGAGTGTCCCCCAGGGCCCCCCAGGTGCAGTCTGACATTATGATTTGGCCATTAGTCCTGGTTGAATGATCCCCCTGTCTATTTCCCTGTCTTTGGGGAAATTCTGTGAAATATCTAACATTCTTTATTATATTCACTGTCTACACAAATCAGCTTTAGGGGATTTTGCTTTTTTGCAGCTAAGACCCCCAACTGTTGTAAAGAGTAACAAATCAATAAACGGTGGCCCTCAGAGCTGTCCTTTCCTGTCTATATTTTCAGGCAAACCGTGGCAAGTGGATTCATTAATCTCAGAAACAACAATAGGTTTTTGTCATGTTATCTGTTGACTGTGAGTCAAACAATGAAAAATAAGGAAGTCCTCAACTTTTAAGTTGTTGACAATCTTGAAAAGTAGACAATATATATTTGATTACTGTTTAGCATGATATGCTGTAACATAATACAGTCGTAAGTATATTCTGGAATTACAGAAAAACCCAAAATGTGTAGTGCTTTGCCAGAAGCTAAACACAGAAGAAAAATGTTATGAAGAGAGAGAGGCAAGAGGAAGTTTCTATAGATTTAAAGCTAGGTATGTCCTGAAGTGTAGTCACATAATGTAAAAGCCACAGAATATAATGGGAACACCCACCAAGGGTAAAGGGGAGAATTGTAATGGGCAATTTGGAAGCAGATGATGAAGGTCTTTAAAACATGCTAATTGTTTTGAAAATACACTATACTAGGCTTAATATTGGCCCTTCAGAGATGCATTTAAACCCATGAATCAATGAGTATTTAGTACCTTACATACTAAAAAGGTTTTGCTGCTGGGAGTAAATAAGGATCTTGACATAGGGAATGTGTCATACCTTAATTAAGTAGATCCAAATAATCATAAGAATCATTTTAAGGAAAAAGCAGAACCTTCAAGTGTTAAAAAATGTAAGAGTGAGGGCAGGAGGAGACCAAGAACTAAAGGACATATTCAGCTTCTAGAATCAAAAACAGATGAGAAAATGGATTTTCCCTAAAGTATCCAAAAAGAATACATATGCCTTGTCCCAAACTTAGTTTTAGACTCCTCACCCCTAGAATTGTAAAATAATAAACTTGTATTGTTGTAAACCACTAATTTTAATAGGAAATTAATACATGTACTCTAGATGGAAAAAGAACACTGTTTATGTTTATAATGGAAGCAAGAAACATGCTTTAGATTCTTGTTTTAGAAAGTAGCATCGAGTGAAGCGTGAAGACTCATTTTGAGACATGTTTAATTAGGAAGGATAGGTGTTAATAATTAGCTTGAATTATTAATGAGAAAAGGCATTTATTATATTTTATTTATACATATATTTATGTTATATTTATATATACTATTTATTATATTATATATACATTTATATGTCTTATAAAAGACATGGTAGCTATAGAATTTATTTAAATAATAAATCTAACAAATTAATAAAGGGAAAGTATTTAAGACATATCAAATACACTAAACATTTACTATGCAGATGCATCATCCTAAGTACTTTACATGCATTGCCCTATTTGATTCTTACACCTGTACTATGAGTAAGAGATTATTAGCACCTTCCTCATTGTACATCAGGCAAATCAAGTAACTTGCTGCCAGCCATAAAGCAATTGAACCACCATATTAATAGACTACTGCTAATAGGAATGAAGGAATCATGAGGGTAATAATAGCACTACTGGGAACAGAAACAAGTCTTGTTTACTTTGGCAAAAGAAGTAAATATGCAGCTCTTTAAGGACTTGGGTGTACATAATGCCTACCTTACTGATCCACATACTTAGGAGTATAGAATTTTGAGAAAAATATGAGACCCCAGAAACAATATCTCAAAGGAATGGCAAGCGATTGTGAAGGCAGTAATCATCGCTCATGCCCGGAGGTGTTGTTCAGACAGTGACTGTCTAGGGAACGACATATTGAAAGCGTCTTCAAATTCAGTTTTGTTACATGTAACTTGCTGGTCCAACATAAAAGGTTATGCTCTGTGAGCCCATGGTGTGCAGGGGCCATAG